AAGCTCCGCCTCCTGGGTTTATGCCATTCTCCTGCCTCAGCCCCCAGAGTAGCTGGGACTACAGGCGCCCGCCACCTTGCCCGGCTAGTTTTTTGTATTTTTTAGTAGAGACGGGGTTTCACCGTGTTAGCCAGGATGGTCCCGTCTCCGCCTCCCAAAGTGCTGGGATTACAGGCTTGAGCCACCGTGCCCGGCCAGTTATTTTAAAAATTAAAAAATCAGCAAAGTAATACCCAGGTAGGCTGAAACCAAGTGTATCACTTCTTGTACATGCTAATGGATGGCATGGGGCACTGTTTGCAAGAAACAGTTACAAAGTTGTAACTCATTTATCCAGTAATGTATTTACAATGAATCCTTTGTAGCAACAGATCAAAGAACAGCATTTATTAACCTATATCTGTATTTGATTGTACAGCAAATTAGCACAAACACACACCCAGAGATCAGCTTCGATTTCCTCATGCAACACTGGCTCTCTCTAAAGAGAAATACATTTTCTGACCCAAAACAAAGTTTTGGAAAGAAAAATTTTGGAAAAGCAAGCATTTATAAAGGCATTTATAATGCTAGTGGGGTTCAACTTGAAAAATTACCCAATTGGCTCGTGAGAAAACATGCTTCTGTAATAAACCGCTATGAGTGGGAGTGGGCAGGAGTTGGGGAGAGAAACAGTGGAAGTAGTGAGAGCATGATGAGTGAAGCAAAGAAGAAGACGTGTGTGTGTGTGTGTGTGTGTGTGTGTAGACCTGTACATAAAACCTCCATTATTTTTATGCTTTCATTTCTACACAGCCAGATAATGTCAGGTAAAAGTATAACTTATGACTCAGTCAGAACAATGCTTTTGCTTTGATATATCGATGTTGGCTGAGTCAAGTAAGGGTGGAGATGGCAAGAAAAAGATAATAAGTAGCAAATCTATGTGTTCAGCGGAAAGACAAAGCTCTCACTTTGAAGAGCTGGGTTCAGAGGTTTCAAAGGGCACACAGGAAATGCTCCAACAGCATAAACTGGGCCCCAAGCGCCATTCCAGCCAACTTTCAGCCCTCCACATGGCTTTATCTGATCTCATGATTCTCTGTCTCCAGAACCAAAGTACCCACAAAGAAGAATGGCTTTGTGATAAAATCAGATCAGGGCTTCGATCACTTTTATGATCACTAGAGACCTGGAGGTATAGAGATGAGAAGGCAAAAGGCAGACAGTAAGACTATGGTGGGTTCCCCTGAGTTATGGGGAAAGTTATACATTATTTACTGATGCACACACAGTGCCTGTTTTTATGACGAATATAATAGGCTGAATACCAAAAAGAAAAACTAAATTGAGCTCTGAATCAGGTCTGAAAGACATTACAAATCCATCTCTATCTTTCAGAACTATATATAAGACAGCATTTTGGTAATTTGATGTGTGTAAACTGAGCCTCAGTTACCCACTTGGGCCAAAACAGGAGAAAAACAGGCATTTAGGGCTTGCCATTTTCCTCTTTGAGGTTAAAAAAAGTCACCAATATGATGCCATTATAAATTAACTCCAGGAGACCAAATTATGAGTTCAACTATTTTCCCAACACAAAACTCTATCCACAGAGCAGAAAGATGAAATTTCATAGAAAGTCTTCAAGGAGGAAAAGCAATGGTCTTTACCCTCTGACACTCTGTAGTTTGTCCTCATCGTGTAGGAATTGGGGCCCATGGTTAGGAGAAAAGAGTGTATACTTTCAGTATAATAGCAAAACAATTAGGGTCAAAGACCCTGTGTGGGAGAAGAGTATATGCTAGATTTATATCAGATTTGAGAATCAGGTCCCACTGGTTAACATGGAAAGTTTCACAGAAAATTGTTTGTGTCAGAGGAGATGGTGCCCAAGATTTCAACCATCTGACTATATATACATCCATGGGAAATCAGTACAGACATCACAGATTATTCACGGGAGGTAGTTTGTACTCGTAATTGGATATTTCCACAAATGCTTTCTTAAGAAAAACCAGGCTGGGCGCAGTGGCTCACGCCTGTAATCCCAGCACCTTGGGAGGCTGAGGCGGGTGGATCATGAGGTCGGGAGATCGAGAGCATCCTGGCTAACATGGTGAAACCCTGTCTTTACTAAAAATACAAAATTAGCTGGGTGTGGTGGTAGGTGCCTGTAGTCCCAGCTACTTGGGAGGCTGAGACAGGAGAATGGCGTGAACCCAGGAGGCGGAGCTTGCAGTGAGCCGAGATCGCGCCACTGCACTCCAGCCTGGGTGACAGAGCAAGACTCCATCTCAAAATAAAAATGAAAAAAAAAAAGAAAGAAAAACCATAGAAAATGAAGTTGGCCTTAGAATAACTGAACACTCTGATAAGCAATATACCCCCAGAAATGTTCCAGATATGGAGTTTTGCTGCTTTACTCCTATCTCTTTAACAAGTGGTAAAACTCTTCTTCTTTACAACCTATGTCTGTATCTGGTACTGCAAAACTCAAAATATTCACTTTATTGAGAGGCCACTGAACATAAAGAAAGAAAAAAAGTGTAGATAGCAATGCTGTGGTTTATCACATGCCACACCGAACCAGTGTGAACTTCCTTTTTTTGATTCATAGAATCAAATTACCATCATAAAATTCAAACAATAAATATGGCTCCTCTAATGATTTCTGTCTTTGCTTGATTTCACTGGGAGACTAGCCTAGTGCCTCCCTCTGATAGCTCAGGAATCCCTGGGCCTCTGTTATTAGCCTTTGGACTTGGATTAGAGAAGTTATTTTCTTTAATTGATTATGAATTTATAGTTAGTGATATATAGTCACTCTGTCTAAGCAGTTCTGTGAGTGGAGGGCAGGAAAAACAAATTTTCAGAATAATAGGAATGTCTGAATCCAGGAAATTTTCCTGGACTGCTGGGACTCATTAAGGCAGCAATGTAAAGGTAAAAAGCAGTGGCCCTCAGGGCAGCAAACCTTGGATGCATGGCCATGAGGGTCTTACTTGCTCTCTCTCAGAAGAAGCAACATGCTAGAGGGGCCTCTAAGAAGAGCTCAAATCTCTGCTCTTCTAGCACAATGTTAAATCATGTGTTTAATAGAAATGGGGATGGGAGTGGGTGAGTGGCTGCAAATCCACTAACTTTTCTTAGGCAGTCAAAGTCAAGCAAAGCACTACTAATGGTGGTGATTGCATCCGGCTCTATGTAGGGGAGGAAAAATATCCTTTTCTCTACCTATCCTAGGTTTATGGCCTATAACAAAAAGCAGGTTAATCAGAAAACCATACAGGTTTATTTCACATAAGTTTTATGTGACATGAGAGCCTTCATAAGGAAATAAGGAAATGAAGACCAAAGAAACAAGTAAATTTGAGTGTTTTTATTCTAGGTTTGATGAAGAATGAACAGTCATGGAGCAATATGATAGGACAAAGAATATTATCTCATGGTAATAAACAGGGCAGGGACTTAACAAGGCCTGTTTGTTTGAATTTTTCTCTGTGTTCCTCCATTTTCAGAGATAAGGATGCTTTTTCCTTCCCTGTAGGTCTAAGGAGGGCATCTTTCAGATGACGGTCATATAACCTACTTTAGGGGAAGGTCAGTGTATTAGTTGGTTTTCATGCTGCTGATAAAGACATACCTGGACTAGGCAACTTACAAAAGAGAGAGGTTTAATGGACTTACAGTTCCATGTGGCTGGGGAGGCCTCACAATCATGTTGGAAAACAAGGAGGAGCAAGTCACATCTTACGTGGATGGTGGCAGGCAAAGAGAGAGAATGAGAGCCAAGCAAAACGGGCTTCCCCTTATCAAACCATCAGATCTCATGAGACTCATTCACTATCACGAGAACAGTGCAGGAAAGACTCGCCCCCATGATTCAATCACCTCCCACCATGTGTTCCTCCCATGACATGTGGGAATTGTGGGAGTTACAATTCAAGATGAGACTTGGGTGGAGACACAGCCAAACCATATCAGTCAGAGAGTCCTCCCTAGGTTTTATAATCTGCTTCAGGGGAGAAGTATGGGGAAAGTTAAGACCAATCCTCCAGTTTCTGCCATTTTATTCAATATGACAAGATGCCATCTTTTGGGGTAGTGTGTCCTGAACCCCATCGCCTATCTGGCAACAGATTTCATCTTTCCTTTGCAGAGGATACAGAACAACGGGACACAGAAGCTAACAAGAAACTCCCAGGAACTCAGGGCACAGGGGCAGGTTCATGTCACAATACTCTTTTTCTCCATATTTTCCTCTCCTTCAACTATTTTTTCAGGACCTAAGATGCTAAACTTAGAGTTCTTCTTTCTCAGACCTTTCCAGGAGTTCCTCCTCATCCGTGGCTCCCATCTCCCCTTCTGACTCCTCTGGGCCCCTGAGTCCTCTACTCAGATAGGGAAAGTTGGCTTCATCTGCCATGGCCTCTGCATCACTAGGCCATGCTAGAAGCCCCCTATATAACCACCCAATTGGTTCTTCTTGCCTGCTTTCCAGATGAAGCTAATTTATCAAGACAGGGTTATTGCCATAGAAAAAGAGTTTAATACATGAAGAGCCAGCTAAATGGGAGACCAGAGTTTTATTATTACTCAAATGAGCCTCTCTGAAAATGTGGAGGCTAGGTTTTTTTGTTTTGTTTTGTTTCTTGAGACAAAGTCTTGCTCTGTTGCCCAGGCTGGAGTGCAGTAGAGCGATCTCGGCTCATTGCAACCTCTGCCTCTGGGTTCAAGCAATTCTCTGCCTCAGCTTCCCAAGTATCTGGGATTACAGGCGCCTGCCACCATGCCCGGCTAATTTTTATTTTTATTTTTATTTTTTGTATTTTTAGTAGAGACGGGGTTTCACCATCTTAGCCAGGCTGGTCTTGAACTCCTGACCTCATGATCCACCCACCTCGGCCTCCCAAAGTGCTGGGATTACAGGCATGAGCCACCGTGCCCAGTCAGTTTCTTTAAAAGACAGTTTGGTGGGCAGGGGGTTAGGAAATCGTCCTGCTGATTGGTTGGGGATGTAATCATAGGAGTGTGGAAAATGGTCCTCATGCACTGAGTCCACTTCTGGGTGGGGGCCACAAGACCAGCTGAGTCAGTGAGTTGGTGTCTCCAGTCTGGATGGGGCCATTGGATCATCAGAAATGCAAAAATCTGAAAAGATATCTCAAAAGGCCAATGTTAGGTTCTACAATAGTGATGTTATTTACAGGAGTAATTGCGGAAGTTGCAAATCTTGTGGCTTCCAGAATAATGGCTGGTAATCATTTATGCCTACATCTTAGTGGAATTCAAGCCCCAATCATCCTCCCAACCTGGTGGCCTTTCATTAGTTTTATAAAGGCAGTTTAGTTTTGGGAAGGGCTATTATCATTTAAACTATAAATTTCTCCCAAAGTTAGCTTGGCCCATGCCTTGATCAAGGGCAGTTTGGAGGTTAAAGGTGAGATAGAGTTGGTTGGATCAGAGCTCTTTCACTGTCACAATTTTCTCACTGTTATAATTTTTGCAAAGGCAGTTTCAACTTCAGTTGCTGAAACTTGCAAATAAAACTGATAAAAGGCAGATTAACAGAAAAAAAACAGATTTAAGTATGTGCATACACACAGGAGTTCACAAAGAAATGTGACTCAAGGAAGCAGTTAGAATTTGGGCTTATATACCATCTTAGGCTAGACAAAAGCAAAGCAATCTGGGGCTTCTGGGGAGGAGATAAATTATAGGAAGGTGAATAGGAAATGTACAGGAAATGAGGGTCGTTTAGTAAGGTTTGTTATGTGGATAAGAGACATCCTGGGTGCTAAGCGTTGCCTCCAGGGTAGTTTTCTTGCTGGTACAGGAGAGGGAGACACACTTTTACAAAGGGAAATTTGTAAATTTTCAAAAAGAAATTTATGCCCTACTTTTAGACAGAAAAGGGGAAGGCAGAGAGCCAATTGCTTTCAAATCAAAACAATCCTTATGCCAAAGTGGTATATTCTAGGGTGGCAGATTCTGGTCCCCTTCACTATCTCACTGTCTGTCTGGTGGATAAATACGTGTTGAGTGGCAGACTAACAGAAGAGTCTACTTGTACCACAACCCATCGTAGGTAAGAGCTTTCAGCTCAGTGGCAGCTGTGCCATGTCCATTTAACCAAGCTTGGCAGCGAGTCTTAAGGACTAGCCACAAAAGGAAAGTGCAAAGGGGCACAGCGTCTCTTTGGAGAGTGCCAAGATACCATCAATCTCTGCCCCAGCCCAGGGAAGGCTGGAAAAAGTGCCTCAAGCACTAAGGGGGCGGGGAGCAGGGGCAAAGTGGGTAATGAGTCAGAAAGGAATGTCTGTGAACCCACACCCGCATACCTGAGTGCCAATGTGAAGAAAACCCAGAGTAAATTCCTTTACACAGACTAGGGTCTCACACGCACTTCTAAGGGCAGTTTTTCCGTATAAGAATCTGCCCTGTGCTTTACGGAACAGTGAGTCACTAACTTGCTTTTGGATGGAACGCTGCAGAGTGTGCTGTCATTGTGATATCTTTTTTTTTCCCTCATGCATTCTCAGCATCACCAGCCTTGCCTTTGTTCATTAGATAAAGAATAGAGTAAAATTCAAGCAGCGGCCCCACAATCACTACTCCATTGAAAAATGGAGGCGGGGAGGGGGAATGGCGGTGCATAAAGACCTGGGCTAGTGAATTGGGTGTTTTTGTTTGTTGGTCTTTAAAGAAATGAACCTAAAACAAGATTTTCCAAATTGGAAAATAGACGCTTTATAGAGTAGATTTCTTATGCAACAATATAAAAATAAGAAATTAAATCTGGGAACGAGAATGAATTCTTCAGCATGATTTTGTTTTGAAGTTCAGCCTCTTCAATTAGATGCAGGTATGGGGGAAGAGCTCCATCTAAAGAGCCCAAATTCCTATCTGTTACTTCAAATATCAGGTCAGATTAGTACTTTTAGAAAGCTTAACAGACCCCTTTGATGCAACAGGAAAGAAAAACAAGCTCTCTAAGCAGGAAAATTCAGGACATCCTTCTTCTTAGTTTTACATGATGCGGTGAGTCACTTAGAGACTCTCAGGAAAATAAGCTCCAGGATGACCATCAAGATTAGGGAACATCCCAGCACTCTGGGAGGCCGAGGCGGGTGGATCATGAGGTCAGGAGATCGAGACCATCTTGGCTAACACGGTGAAACCCCGTCTCTACTAAAAATACAAAAAATTAGCCGGACGTGGTGGCGGGCGCCTGTAGTCCCAGCTACTCAGGAGGCTGAGGCAGGAGAATGGCGGGAACCCGGGATGCGGAGCTTGCAGTGAGCTGAGATCGGGCCACTGCACTCCAGCCTGGGCGACAGAGCAAGACTCCACCTCAAAAAAAAAAATAAAAATAATAAAAAAAATAAATAAAGATTAGGGAACTTACTGGCCCAAATAGCTGCAGAGCAAGTGGCTTCTCTGTTCCCAGTTCTCATCCTCCTAGTGTTTTCTCTTTAGGGCCAAGTGCTGTAAGAGAGAAAGAACAAGATGACAAGGTCAAGACAGCCTCTTTGTAATCCTCAAATCACCAAGAAACAAACCAACCACGATTGTATGCATTTTGATGTGACAGGGAAATAAAGTAAGGTAGAATATTGTGGAGGTTTGGGAGGCAACTTTGACCAAAGATTCTCAAGTTCTCTTGGGTTAAAAAAGTATGTGTATGTTCGGGTAGGGGGTAAGAGGTAGGGGAATGGAGGGGACACTTCCCTTAAGAAAGTATTTAGGGCTGGGCGCGGTGACTGACGCCTGTAATCCCAATACTTTGAGAGGCGGGCGAATCACCTGAAGTCAGAAGTTCGAGACCAGCCTGACCAACATGGAAAAACCCTGTCTCTACTAAAAATACAAAAATTAGCCGGGCACGGTGGCACATGCCTGTAACCCCAGCTACTTGGGAGGCCAAGGCAAGAGACTTGCTGGAACCCAGGAGGCAGAGGTTGCAGTGAGCCGAGATCCCGCCACTGAACTCCAGCCTGGGTGACAGAGCGAAACACCGTCTCAAAATAAATAAATAAATAAATAAATAAATAATAAAAAATTAAAAATTCAGAAAGCAAAATGTCTTGCCCTTGTAAATTCACACTTCAATAGAAAACTATTGCCTAGAGTACATGCTTTCAGGCTTTATCTGATTCTGATTCTACTGGAGCTATTTGCCACTCTGTAAGTTGTAGGTCACTGATAGATATGCAAATCCTGTCCTATCTGGTTCAATTGACTTCCTTCCCCCTGTGTGTGTGGGAGGGGGGGCGGAGGCGGGGGGCGAGGGTGGGGGGGCAATAAACAGTTTGCCTCCATTTGCAATTCATCTCTAAATTCCTTTACTCCGTATAAATTGGGGCTGTTTCTTTTTTAAACCAGTTATAACATCTGCCTGGTTCCCTCAGTTATGTAAGTAAAAGTCTTTAACACATGTTCATTTTTATATCTGTATAACGGTCACGATTTTACCTCTTTCTGGAAATTACCTTTTAACACCCTTGTGAGATTTGTTTCTTAGGTAGCAGCAGCAGGAGACCTGGTGGAGGACCTTCAGTCTAGAGAAGACCAGTACCAGGCCATCCGGTCTATGGGTAAAGAGCAGATGCCTCCCACAGAGCTGTGCTCCACAGAGGAAACAAAGGGACTCTTTCGAAAGGGACATGTCCCTCCTCCCACCTGCCTCCCTTCCGACCTCCCAAGTTAACACCACCATCTAAAACAAGAATTTGGTCACCTTTCGGAAGGCATCTTTCCCATTTTAGAAGGGGTTACTTCTGGATCCTCTCTCAACTTGCTGGTTTCCCACGCTCTCGACTTGCAGTTTCACCCAGTGGGCAGGGCTGGGTTTCTGTTAGCCTGGCTGCAACCTCCTGCGCCCTGCCAACACACAATAATCAGTGGCATTCCTGGAATTCCTGACATAGCAGAGAAGCCAGGCTTGGCCCTGCAAATGCCCTTGAACTGCAGTTCTGACCCCAGTGGGGCATTTTATCTTTTATTCACAGCCAGAGGTTAGGACCTATTTATGTAAATCCTCTGCCAAGGGTCGATTCATCTTGACCCCCTGGTTTTCATTTCTCTAATTGTCCCAGGTATTTTGTAGACCCCTTGGAAACTCTTCATTCAGTGAAAAACTGTGGGGTCAGTAAGAATTCAGTAACAAAGGAAAGGGGTTGGGGGCCTGGAAGAGTTGAGGAGCTTTCCTTTGAAGTGTTCTAAAGAAGCTTTCAGAGGCCACCCAGTTTACAAAGTAAAAACAGCAATGACCTCATGCACCCCATTTTATTCACGGAAAATAAGCTTTCTTGAAATGGTATCTTCACCTAAGAAGTTTCTTAGAGCATGCATTGTTCAATTTTGTTTCCTAAAGCACACATTGTCCGATCTCAGTGGTGGTAAGGGGTTGGGGAAGGAGCTGTCAGAATTGCGGGCCTTTGGGCAGGTGGTGGCTCCTCACACAATTGTTCCCACTTAATGGGTCCAGGATCCCTCCCAAATTTGCATTTTAAAAGGGGGCACTGCCTCCCCAGTAGTGAGAAAATACTCGATCCCTAAGAATTGACTCAGGTGACAGAAATTTCAAGCCACATGGAAAGTCAGCAGGGGAGATACTTGGAGGTCAGCAGGGCTTTTGGAGGCCTTCAAATAATTCTTGATTGAGGGCCTTGTGCTCTAACCTCCAACTCACAGTAATAAAGGGAAGGAATTGCTTGGAAAGCAGCCCAACTGTTTTACAACCCTAACAGCAAATTTTTCTTTTTCACTAACTGAATTTTCATGTACGTTTTAAGCGAGTTGGATTTTTTTAATGCTCTATTTTCAATAGAAAGATGGGGGGGGAAACCTTCTCTTAAAAAACTATTTTTCTTCATTTTCTGTCAACTTTTTATTATGTAAAACTTCAAACATACAGAAAAGTTGAAAGAACAGCACAATGAAAACCCATATATCCACCACTGAAATTCGACAAATGTTAACCTTCTGGTATATTTGTTTTATCTATATACACAGTTACATGTACAGATTTGCTTCATGAATATATACTTTTTTTTGCTGATCTATTTAAAAGTAAATTAAATTAAAAGTGACATCATGACACGTAATCCCAAATACTTCAGCTTGCATCATTCTAATATAAGTTAATTCTCTTCTATAACTATCGCACAATGATTACCTCTAAGAAAATCAACAGTAATTGCCTAATACCACCTAACTCTCAGAATACCCAGGCCACATTCAAATCTCCTCAACTTGTACTATATCTTAGAGCAGTTTCTGAATTAAACCAAAATCCAATCACAATTCATACATTTGATTTTTTTGGTCTTTTTGGAATAGTCCCTCTACTTTTTAAAAATGACATTGTGTTTTTGAAGAGACTTTGTAGAAAGCCCCACATTCTAGATTTGTCTGATCAATTGTGTGTGGTGGTGTTCTTGTTCTGCCCCGCCAGATTTCCTGTGATGAGCTGAATTGTGTTTATCCCCCAAAATTCAGATGTTGAAGCCCTAACCCTCAGTACCTCAGAATGTGAGCTTATTTGGAAATAGTCACTGTAGACATAATTGGTTAAGATGAGGTCATACCGGAGTAGGGTAATAGGGCGGGTCCCTAATCCGATATGACTGGTGTCCTTATAAAAAGGGGAAATTTGGAGATAGACATGCACACATGGGGGCAATGTCCTGTGAACATGAAGGCAAGGATCAGAGTGACACTTCTACGTGTCAAGGAATGTGAAAGATTGCTAGCAAACCACCGGAAACTAGAAGCAAGTGAAGGGGGCCAGAATATGCCACCCCCAAACATGTCACTCAAAAAGGATGGCTTTGAGCTAAAGGCCATTAGCTCTCTGCCCTTCCTGCTTCTGACTAAAAGCAGGACATACATTTCCAGTTGTAAGGTGTCTCCCTCTCCTGTACTAGGAAAACTCTTAGCACCTGAGATGTCTCCTATCTAAATAGCAAGACAACCTTTATTCACCATACATTTCCCATAACTTACCACTCCCCAAGAAGCCCAAACCCCCCTTTACTTTTGTCTAGTTTAGGATGGCATGTAAGCCCCAAATTCTAACTGCCTCCTTGAGTCACCCGCATTTGTTAACTTTTGTGTGTATGTATATAATCAAATCTATCTTTTTCTCATGGTAATCTGTCCTCCTTTTTTTTATTAAAAAAAATTTTATATAGATGGGATCTTGCTATGTTGCCTAGACTGAGTAACCACCCAACTGGTTCGTCTTGCCTGCTGCCCAGATGCAGTCAATTTATCAAGACAAGGGAATTGCAATAGAGAAAGAGTTTAATACACAGAGAGCTGGCTAAACACGAGACTGGAGTTTTATTATTGCTCAGGTCAGCCTCCCTGAAAACTCAGAGGTTAGGCTTTTTTAAAGACAGTTTGGCGGGCAAAGGGCTTAGAAATGGAGAATGCTGATTGGTCGGCTCATGGATGAAATCACAGGGAGTTGGAGCTTGTATTCTTGCACTGAGTCAGTGCCTGGGTGTGAGCCACATGAGCAGAGGACCCAGTTTACCAGTCTGGGTGGCACCAGCTGATCCATCAGAATGCAGGGTCTGAAAAATACCTCAAACGCCAGTCTTTGGTTTTACAACAGTGATGTTATCCATAGGAGCAACTGGGAAAGTTAGGAATCTGTGGTCTCTGGCTACATGACTCTTGGGCCACAATTCCTAATCTTGTGGCTAAGTTGTTAGTTTTATAAACATGATCTGGTCCCCAAGCAAGGAGGGAGTTTGTTTCAGGGAGTTACTGTTATCATCTTTGTTTCAAAGTTAAACTATAAAAATTCCTCCCAAAGTTAGTTTGACTTATGCCCGGGAAAGAACAAGGGCAGCCTGGAGGTTAAAGGGAAAATGGAGTCAGTTAGGTCAGATCTCTTTTACTGTCTCACTGTTAAAATCTTTGCAAAGGCAGTTTCAGCTGGTCTTGAACTGCTGAACTCCCACCCCAGCCTCCCAAGTAGCTGGGATTACAGGTGCACACCACTCCACATACCCAGCTCAGTAATCTGTTTTTTGTCACTTTAATTCACAGGGCTATGAGCCACTGAGCCATTCCCCAAGAAGAGATCTACAAGAGTTCATTCTCTCACAGGCTTCAAAAGGAACCAACCCCACCCGCACCTTAATCTCAAACTTCCAGCCTCTAGAACTGTGAGACAAGAAATTTCTCCTGTTTATTCCACACAGTTTGTGGTACTTTGTTTCAGCAGTCCTGGCAAGCTAAGACACCTGTAAACTGGAGGTTAGGTCTAGAGGCATAATTAGATTCAGGTTAAACATTTTTGGCAAGAATACTACGTAGGTTATGTTGTGTAGTTCATATTGCACCAGCTCAGGAGGCACATAACACCAGGTTGTCTCACTATAAGTGACGTTAAGTATAATCACTGGGTTAAGGTAATGAGAACCAAGCAAAATTCTTCCCTTTGCAATTAAAAAGTAACATGAGGCCACGTGTGGTGGCTCATGCCTGTAATCACAGCACTTTGGGGGAGGGAGGCAGGAGGATCTCTTGAGGCCATGAGTTCAAGACCAACCTGGGTATCATGTGAGACCCTGTCTCTACAAAAATTTTAAAAATTAGAAAAAGAGTAACTTCAGGGGTAGTACATTGGTACTACATAAGTATGCTGCCTCCACCAATCTGTCAACCAATTATGTTAGCAGTCATTGATGATACTTGCCTGAATTGATTCTTTTATTGGAAAATGTTGATATTGTATAAATTCATTTGTAATTGTTACCTGACATTCCTCTATAAAGAAGAATCAAATCGGGATTAACTAAAAAGGGTAAATGCCTAAATCTTTCCCTTAGTTACAAAATTTCAGGAAAAAAAAGTTGATATAATTGTCATCATTGATCACTAGTGAGTTTTCACTTATTTGAGTATCATAATACACTCATGGTTTTAATTTGCTCAGTGATTATAAGCAATTATGATCATTATTCTTCTTGATGCTCAATTGTCCAAAATTTGGCCAAGGAGAGAGCCCCTTTAACCTGGCTCCTGAGTCCTTTTGACACAATCCCATTGGTCTTTTGGTGCTTTCCTATATCCTGGCATAAGAAGTCCCAGCCTCACCTTGTACTTTGCCTGTGCCAAGCCAGGAATCCACCATTTCTCCAAGAAGCACGGCTTTTTTTTTTTTTAATTAGGAAATGATATTTAGAAACCAAGATCTAGTTTCAAGGTATGCTTATTGCTGCTGGGATAGCATTGCTTCTAGGCCACAGCAGTGCCCAGCACTAGGAAATATGAAGGACTAGCTTTATTGGTGTACTTGTATACTCCTCAGAAGGGCCTGGTACTTGGGGTTTAATGCTCTGTAATCACTGTCTTGAAATTCTATACAATTTTATTTTTATATTTGTGCTTTGTAAGTACAGTCCAATAGATAAGGAAGCACACACCAGAGGCTTGGAACCTTGACTCATATATGGCTCCCTGACCTCCCCAGGATGGGTTCTCAGGGGCTGCTCCCCAACTCCCTGGCACCCCGGGTACTGCCTGGCCTCTCCATTTCCTCCATCTCCAACCCTTCCCAGCAACCACTGTTGCCCTCTGTCTCCAACTGGTGTGAGTGCAGGGAAGGTCAGGTTAAGTATGTTTGCCCTGCAGTATCTTGGAACAAGGAATGGTGGTAGCATTTCCAATCTGGGTTGGCAGTGCCACATCGCATTAATTAGGTGACTAGGCAAGGGTAACCTATCACCCACCACCATCCAGTTACCTAGTGCATCCTAGCATTGAGGCTGCAATATGTTTGGAAGTCTCCCATTTGCAATGGGTTGGGGCAGCAGGACCATGGGAGGGAAAAATCCCTGGCCTGACCCC